TTGTATTGATATGATATGTATGATGCTAAAACATGTCAATGACTTCCACTTGAAGAGCATTGATTAAATGATCACTCCAGATTTATTGACTCTAGTTTAGAATTAATTATTGAGTTATAGTGCACATTTATGCTTTTGCTATCAGAGATATATCTGGCCTGTGTATCTAGTACACCTAGATACACTAGGTAGTCATTCTGCACCTGGAATTATTTGGGAAACTGTACTAAGCATGCACTAGATATGCAGAACAATTTTCACCACTTTATAGTCCTTTTTTTTCTGTAATCTCTGGGCACCTGCCACTCTTCATTAAGTCCATTTCCACTGACCATTAACTGGCAAGAGGATATGTGATTTAATGGATTCATCTCCAGCATCATGTCTTGATACTCTTCCTGCTTTGGTTTACTTCTCACTATCCCATGTCCCTCTCTTGCCCCTGTAAAGCCTTCAGCCCCCATGACTCCATCTTCTGGAACTTTATTTAACCTCTTCTTGCTAATTGTCATTTCAGATACCTCCTCAGCAGTTTCCTCTGTGACTAACTTCATTCCTATATCTGCTTAGTATGCGTCACTATGCTGAAAAGAAACACTTTGAACTAATTGTGCACGTCAAAGGTGACAAACATAAACTGCTGTCTTTTTAAACATGCACACGAAAACTGGGAGTAGCCCATTCAACCCATCATACTTTCTCTGCCACACAATACAATCATAACTAATAATACTGATAAATTTGTTGCTGACAGCTACCTTTTCTTGCTCTGGGCTCTGACACCTGTGTGACAGCTCACATTTTCATGATATCTATCAAATGTTGAGCCAAAAGCAAGACGTTAATGTAAAAGTGAAACAATAGAAGGCTGAGATCAACAAAACGTTTATAATTTGTACAGTGAAGGGGACTGGAGTTCGATATAAGTTGTATCCAATGATGATTTTATCACACAATCATCTGTTGTACAGGTAATGTTTAGTTGATGATTTATATTGGGCAGTCATTACTGCTCATTTAATAGTTCATTTACAATGAATAACCAACAATACTATTCACATGGACGGTTTTAACTGTTCCTGTGTGACACACTATTTGTCACAACATGTTAAGGAGTAAACACAGAATAAAGATTTAGAACGTGTTTCCATAAAGGACATCGTGAACTAACTGTTATTGTTTACTGCAATATAGAATAAGCCTTTCATGTCACTGAAATATATTTTGGGTGGTAAATAAGATTATCCATCCAATTACATTTACCTTCTCATAAAATATCAGAGTAAATCTCAGCATTTGTTCCTTGGATATTTTAATTTTAAGTAAAATAACAACATGGCACCTTTAACATAATAAAACCTCCTAAGATACCTCAGGGCTTTATAAAATAAAATATTTCACTGAGCCCCATAGGTAGATTGTTAGGGCAAATAGCTAAAAGCTTGCTCAAAATGATATGGTTTTGAGAAATAGTCTTGCAAGGAAAAGTGGAGAAATGAAGAGGTTTATAGAGGAAATTGCATAGTTTAGGGCCTCAGTAGATGAAGGCACAATCATTAGTGGTGGAGTAATCCAAATCAGAAATGATCAGCAATGTAGATATCTCTGGGGCTTGTGTTGTTACGAGACATTGCAGAGCTAGGGACGGGTGAGACCATAGAGGCATTTGAAAAAGGATAAGAATTTTTTTAAGTTGAACATTGCTCATTTGAAAACTAGGTTGGTGAGGACAGATATGATTGGGATTTAGGGATGGTTAAGATATGGGCAGCAGAGTTTAGGATGCCTTCAAGTTAATGGAGTGCAATAAGAAAAGCCAGCCAGATCTTTGTTACAACAGCTAAGCCTGGTGATAACAAAGGCATAGAAGTTGAAGTGGGGTTCGATAGTCAGTTGATCTTACGGAAATGAATCTGTGTAGTCTTAGTGATATTATGATTACCCATTTGAAGACTCGTTGAGCTCAAGTATGATACTGAGGTTATGAATAGTCTGAGTCAACCTCATACAGTTGCCAGGAAGAGGGTTGGAATCAAGGGGGGGGAACAGCAGGTAAAGGCTTCGGTCTTCCAATCCTTAGGTACACAGCATTTCTGCTCATCCAGTCCCGGATGTTGAATAAGATGTCTGATAATCTAGCAACAGTGGAAGAGTTGAGAGAAAGTAACTCAAAACTGGGTCTAGTCGGCATATGTGTGAAAACTAACACCGAGCCTTCAGATCACATTGCAAATGGCAGTACGTAGCTTTGAATTCAAAGGAAACCAGAGGATCCTTGAGGGATTCTAGAGGAAATGGCACAGGAACAGAAAAAAAAAGCCACTCGTGTTTGTTAGGCTTTGATTGGATAGATGAGAATGGGGTGAGCAAAATTCCATCTCTCACAGCATGAAAGGCACTGGAGGAGGACAATATGATCAACTCTGTCAGAAGCTGCTGACACGTTGATTAGAAAAAATAGGTTGCCTTTGTTACAAATACATAAGATGTCATGATGGCTTTACTGTTGCAGAGGTGGAATCCTGATTGGAGAGATTCAAATAGTTCCAGGAAAGATGGAGTCCGACTTGAAAGATAACAGCACATTCAAGGAATTTGTAGAGGAAAGGGAGGTTGAAGAAAGGGGCAGTAATTTGAAATATGTCAAGGCTTCGCTTCTTGAGAGGAGTGCTCATAGCAACATTGAGGAGAGAATGATAGCACCTGAAAAGAGAAAGCATTAACCATCTCATCAGGAATTGAATTTCCATGGTTGGTAATTAAGTTGGAACAGGGCTGAGAGAGCTGGAGGTGAATTTCAGGGACAAGCTGAGCTCGGGGAGGGCATGAGCAATAATTGGAGAGAGACTAGGAAAAGAAATGAGTTCAACATTGGGGCAGGGATGGAAGAGAGGGGAGCCTTCAGGGCTATTAGGCTTAGCAAGCTAGGGGACAGGAGGAAAGTCACTTTTATGTCACTACTTCTATATTAAACAGTGAATTACTCATCTATTATTCTATGGATGGTTCCCATATTTCCTTCGGGTCAGCAGCACAGAATCATTGCTTGATGAAGTGGATTGCCCATTCCGTGTAGTTGGATGAAAATTAGGTGGACAAAAGAATAGGAAGAAATGATTTAATGAAATGTTATGATCTGGAATGTTCTGTCTGAAAGTGTAGTGGAAGGAGATTCACAAGTAAATTTGAAAAGTAAATTGGGCAAATAATAGAAAGGAAAGATATATAGAGCTGTGGAGAATACAAAGAAAGTGGGACTGATTGGGTGGTTTCTTCAATGAGCCAGCCTAAGGATCCTGCCCAGTTCCATGATTCCAAAGCAGACCACTAGTCTGGTGGTAGAATTATTGTGTGACCCTTCTTCCATTTGACATTTATCTGGTCCTGATTAAATAACTTCTGTGCCATTTTAATGACCATAAGATGTCGGAGCAGAAGTAGGCTATCAAGCCCAGAAAGTTCGCTCTGCCAATCAATGAAATCATGGCTAATCTGATATTCCTCAACTCCACTTTCCTGCCTTTTCCCCATAACCCTTGATTCCCTTGCTGATTAAAAAATCTGACTGTCGCAGTCTTGATTTACTTAATTATACTTCATTACCGAGCCTCAACAGCCCTCTGTGGTAAAGAATTCCACAGATTCACTACCCTCTGAGGGAGGGGATGCCTCACCATGTTTTGAATGTGCAACCCCTTATTCTGACATTGCCTTCTGGTTCTGAAATCTCCAACAAAGGGAAACATCTTTACATCTACCCTGTCCAGTCCCCAAAGGAATCTTGTATATGGTGAAACTTCAGGTTCTAAACTCACTTAAAATCAGGGATGTTTGATGAATGCTCAGTTATCAGCTTGATATATTTTTTAGATTAAAATGTCATTTTTGTTTACTAACAATAAGATGAACTGGAAGTTTAATATTTTGTTTTCAGCCTACATGAAACGCCGACATAGCTCAGTGAGTGACGGTCACGGTAGTGACTCCTCAGTTGCTGGACTTGACTACAGTCAGAGCGCCAGTCCCCAGCCACAGGTTCATCTGAAGAAGCCCAGAGTGGTGTTGGCCCCTGAAGAGAAAGAAGCTTTGAAGCGAGCTTACCAGCTAAAGCCATATCCATCCCCAAAAACTATTGAAGAACTTGCTGCTCAGTTGAATCTGAAAACCAGCACTGTCATCAATTGGTTTCATAACTACAGGTGAGTGCCTCTTTGTTATTTGACTTTAGATACAAATGGCCCTTAGTATTGAGCGCAGCAAGTCAGTGGATGAGAAGCATTCAGCAATTTGTACAATGTGCACACTGAAAGTCTCAATACTTGGTGCTCATTTCAAGGACATCAGGTTTTGTATAAGAGAGGGAAAGAAAAGACATTCATGAAGAGATTTGCAGAGAGCATTGTAATTTCCATTTAATGCTGGTAGAACTACACTACCCACCTGCACTCTGACACCAGACAAAAAAGTTACAAGCAGTCACTATTGAGGCCTGAAGGGAACAAGTATAATGAAGTAAAGAAATATTGCACTTCTTACGAGCTCCAGGTTCCTCAACATACTTCACAACCAGTGAACTGTGTTAAGCCCAGAGAGTGATGCAAATCAACTGCAGCAGGGCTACCTGAATGGGGAGACAAGTAGCAAATAGAGAGGAGTATGAGATGATGCATTTTTGGCAGAAAAGATAGGGAGAGACAATATGGACTTAATGGCGCAGCTCAAGGGTTTGAGCAGCGACCAATGAATTCAAGTACATAGATCTGTAAAGACACAGAACATGTTGGCAGGGTCATTAACAAAGCATCTAGGATCTTAAGCTTCATAAATAGAGACGTTGAGTAGTACAGCAGGGAAGATATACAAAACCTTTATAAAGCACCAGTTAGGCCACAACTAGTTCTGGTCACCACTGTTTAGGGAGGATGCGAGGACATTTGAGACATTGCATAATCTGTTAAAAAGGAGTGGCTAAATGAAAGAAAATCCCTGATATTCAATTCATAAGCAATAAGTAACAATTTATTTATTTAACCCTAATAGTGAACAAATTGACAGAACTACTAACAAATCAGACAATTCCCCCTTAACTACTATTCCCAAACAGAACAAAATTCTAATGGTATGCTGTTCCAATAAATACAAATCCCACTTATAAAAACCCAACAATAATAAAACAAAATTAAAACTTAGACTCTCAAAGTCCATACAGGGTGTGTCTTCTGGAATGTTCTGCCTTCTCCACTGTCTGTCCAGTCATAGATGCCTTTCTTCCACTGATCCTTCTATCAGGGATGTTTTCTCTGTGAATTCTTCTGTGAGGACTTTTAGCTAGAAGTGCTGTGGTACCTTTTATGAAAAAATGGTGCTTTCTCAGAAAGCTTAGACATTTCTGTGAGAGCTAAGTGTCTATTCCTCAGATGGCAGTTTGCTCTCCCCCGATTTTCAAAAACTCTCTTCTTGTATACCTTGGGTGACATTAATTTCCTTACAATAACATTGGTCAGAGGTTGCCAAACCTTCTGATTTAAATTCAATTGGTTTTCATACTTTAAGTGGTTGATCTTCAACCTAGTTGCCAAAACATCAAAACAATCCTAAGGTTTCCAATTACACAGCCAATTGATACACATGTTTCAATTTTAGGACTGCCTGTATATCTGTGGCTGTTTGCCGACATTTTTATCTAAATCTCCAAGCTTAGAAAAGCACACCACCTCTTAAAGGGATTATGCATTCTTCCCCCCCCCGCCCCTATCATTTTTGCAAGTTCTAACCCCCTGCTTTCCAACTCACAAGTGCTCTACACAACTTTGCAACAGTTGTCCACCTAGGAAATTCTGTATCATGTCATGGGTCCTTGTGTAGGTGATGAGCCCAATCCTAGAGCTGCATCTTTGACCACACATTTGACAGATGTTTCTGGAGGTGGAATTGGTCATGGTATATCAACTAGGAGAAACAGACTAGGATCTAAGGTTTTGGACAAGAAGTGCAGGAGGGTATGAGGACGAACATTTTTACACAGTGAGTGGTCATCTGGAACTGGCTGCCCACAAGATGTGGAAACTGAGATGGTGAATAATTTCAAAAGGAAATTAAATGGGCACTTTGGTAATTGAGGGAAATTAACTTGGGAGAGTGCAAAGGACTTGGACTGATAATGATGAATTAATAAAAAATAGAAAATATTTGAAATACTCAAAGTTGCACAGCAACTGTGGAAAGAGGGGAAAAGAAACAGAGTTATTGCAGTTCTGATGTAAGGATCCAAACTTGAAACACTAGCTCTTGCTTCTGTCTCCAGGGATAATGCTCCAAGGTTTAAAAAACAAGATTGCATTATTAAAATTAAATAAATGGTGGACTTAAAAAAAAAAATGTGAATGGGAAAAGTGAGACCAATAGCAGAAGATGCCATCAAAAAGGGCATGATTTGAAATTGCTGAACTCAAAATTGAACTTGCAAAGGCTGTGAAGTTCCTAATAAGACAATGAAATGTTGTTCCTCAAGCTTGTGTTAACCTTCCTGACTAGTTAATCTGCTTTGGTGGTGTTTTTTTGAGGGAGCAGTGCAAGCCTAGACATAAGTCATGTAGAATCGATGGGGAGGGAAAGACTAGCTGGTTTAAAATTACCTGCCCCAAATCATGATGCTTTTGACACATACGTTAGAAAGTGGTCAGGTTCTGTCTGAAGGCAGGGAACACAAGGCACCCCCACGCACGTGATAGCATACTCCAGAGGGTCCTTGCTGTCTGGTAACAGGTAAATCACTCAGTTGCTGAAGTCCATTCTTTCTTTTATGTTCCTTCATGCTCCCCAATCTGTTAAACTAGAATTGAAATAGGGAAACAAGACAGTTCTTTAGTTGTTTCATAGATCCATCACCTCTAAGTCTGTGCTGCTCTAAACTAAATAGGCAAAGGCCTATCTTCTCAAGCAACCTCTCAGAAATAATTGTCAGGCTGATAGGCCTAAAGTTCCCTGGTTCAGATTTCTTCTTTTTCATTAACTAACTCAAGTCTACATAGAGCCAGAGAGTTTCGGAGCCACACAGCCCTTTGGTCCAACTAGTCCATGCCCACATGCTCCCAAACTAAACTAGTCTCACTTGTCTGCATTTGGTCCATATCCCTCCAAACCTTTCCTATTCATTTACTTATCCTAATGTCTTTTAAACGCTGTAACTGTACCTGCATCCATCATGTCGTCTGATAGTACATTCCACACATGAATCACTGTGTGAATAAAGTTGCCCCTCATGTCCTTTTTAAAACTTTCTCCTCCTTAAAAATATGCCCCCTAGTTTTGACCTCCGCCATTCTACGGAAAAGACCCTTGCTATTCTTCTTATCTATGCCCCTAATGATTTTATAAACCTCTATAAGGTTTATAACCCTCAACCTGCTACACTCGTGATAAAATGACCCAGCCTATCCTGCCTATGTTCCATTCCTGGCAACATCCTGGTAAATCTTTTTTGAACCCTCTCCAATTTAATATCCTTCCTATGGTAGGGTAGCCACAACTCCAGAAGAGCCTTCACCAGCATCCTGTATAACATCAACATTATGTCTCAGTCCCTATACTGAAAGGGCTGAGCAGTGAAGGCAGTGTGCTAAATGCCTTCCTGATCATCCTGTCCGTCTATGACGCAAATTTGAAAAAAATATGTACCTGAACTCCTAGGTCTCTCTGTTTTACAATAGTATCCAGGGCCCTGCCATTAATTGTAGAAGTCCTGCCTAATTTTGTTTTACCAAAATAGATACCTCATATTTATCCAAATTAAACTCCATCTGCCACTCCTCGGCCTATTGACTCAGTTGATCAAGGTATCTGTAATCTTAGATAAGCTTCTTCACTGTCCACTACACTACCTTTTTTGGTGTTATCCACAAACTTACTAACCATGCCTCCTATATTCTCATCCAAATTGCTCATATAAATGACAAACAAAAATGGACCCAGTACTGATTCTTGTGAAACACCACTGGTCACAGGCCTCCAGTCTGAAAATTAACCCTGCATCACCACCACCCTCTGTCTCCTACCATCAAGCCAGTTTTGTATCCCTGACCGTATTGAGCTATTGCCACTGTCTCATCTTTTTAATCACTCTGGAATAGATAATTATCTAGTACTGAAGCCTAAGGAGAATAGTGATATAGTCATTGGAGAAATAATCTCGAGATTTAAGCTAACTGCTGGGGATATGATTTTGAATTCCACCATAGTAGATAAGCAATTTTGATTTAATTATTAATCTGAATTAAAAGCCAGTTTAATGATAACCTTGAAACCATTTTCAATTGTTATTTTTTTTTTAAATCTAATTCTCTAAAGTTCTTTTGGGAAATATACTTTTCCAGTCAGTGTTTTATTCTAACTCTCGCATCACAAAATGCAAATAATACTTTTACTTGTTCCCCATGTATACATGTTAAATTTTCAGCCAATTACGCTACTCTGGAGAAGGTGGGACTTGACTCCAGGCCTCCTGACTCAGGTAGAAGCACTACCACTGCAGCACAAAACCCTTCTTGTCACCCTATTATCTGTTAATTAACATATGACCTTCCATCTATTCCCAGTCAAACCCTACTAAATGATAATACGTCATCCTTGCCTGGTGTGGCCTCCACATTACTCCAAATACAGAGAAATGTGGTTGACTCTTAAATGACCTCTGAACTGGCCTAACAAGGCTAATCGATTGTATCTCACTGCTGCAAAGTCAGGTGAAAGGAATGAAACCGGTGAATCACCCAGCGTCAATCAAAGCACCAGAAACACCAACCCTGTCGACCCTGTAAAGAGCTCCTTACTAACAGCTGAGGGATTGGAAGAGCTGTTCCATAGACTAGTTAAGCAATATCCTGGGATAGGCATTCTCACAGAATCATACCTTATAGATAATATCCCACACATTATTGTCACCATTCCTGGGTATGTCCTGTGCCACTGACAGACCCATCAGAGATGACAGCACAGTGGTATGCAGGAAACTGCCCTGGAGTCTTCACCATTGACTTCAGACTCCATGAAGTCTCATGATATCAAGTCGTTTAAACAGTGGGTCAGAAAACTGCCTACTTATAGCACATATCGCTGCCACTGCTGATGAATCAGCATTCCTTCAATGTTGAACTCCACTTGAAGGTCAAATTGAGGCTGGCAAGAACTCAGAGTGTATTCT